TGATTCCTCAAGGATCTAGAACTAGAAATACCATTTGACCCAGCAATCCCATTACTGTGTATATACCCAAAGGATAAATTGATCTATTATAAAGACACATGCACACATATGCTCAATGTGGTACTGTTTACAATAGCAAAGACTTGGAATCAACCCAAATGCCCATCAAAGATAGATTGGATAAAGAAAATGTGCCACATATACACCATCAAATACTATGCAGCCATAAAAAGGATAAGTTCATGGCCTTTGCAGGGACATAGATGAATCTGGAAACCATCATTCTCAACAAACTGACACAAGAACAAAAACCAAACACCGCATGTTCTCACTCATAAGTGGGTGATGAGCAATGAGAACACATGGACACAGGGAGGGGACCATCACACACTGGGACCTGTTGGGGGTAAGGGGGCCAAGGGAGGGATAGCAGTGGGTGGGGGGATTGGGGAGGGATAACATTAGGAGAAATACTAATGTAGGTGATCAGAAGATGGATGCAGCAAACCACCATGGTATGTATATACCTATGTAACAATCCTCTACAATCTGCGCATGTACCCCAGAACTTAAAGTATAATTAAAAAAAAAAAAAAAAGAATTAAATGTAAGACCTAAAACTGTAAAAATCCTAGAAGAAAACCTAGGAAATATCCTTCTCAATATCACCCTTGGCAAAGAATTTATGACTGAGTCTCTAAAAGCAATTGCAACAAAAACAAGTTGACAAGTGGAAGCTGATTAAACTAAAGAGCTTCTGTACAACAAAAGAAACTAAGAGCAGAATAAACAGACAACCTAAGGAATGGAAAAAAATATTAGAAAACTATGCATCCAACAAAGTTCTCATATCCAGAATCCATAAGGAACTTAATTAAACAAGCAAAAAAACAAATAACCCCATTAAAACATTGGCAAAAACCATGAACATATACTTCTCAACAGAAGACATATATGCCACCAACAAATATCAAAAATGCTCAACATCACCAATCACCACAGAAATGCAAATCAAAACCACAATGAGAAACCATCTCATACCCATCAGAATGGCTACTAAGAAGCCAAAAAAACAACAGATGTTGGCGAGGTAGAGGACAAGAGAAAATGCAAATTAGTTCAGCCACTGTGGAAAGCAGTTTGGAATTTCTCAAAGAACTTAAAAACTGATCTACCATTTGACCCTGCAATCCCATTACTAGGTATATACTCAAATAAAAATAGATCTTTCTACAAAAAAGACAAATACACTCATAGGTTCACTGCAACACTATTCACAATAGCAAAGACATGGAATCAACTCAGGTATCCATCAGCAGTGGACTGGATAAAAAAAAAATGTGGTACATATATATTACGGAATACTATGCAGCCTTAAAAAAGAAGAAAATTATATCCTTTGCAGCAACATGGATGCAGCTGGAAGCCATTATCCTAAGTAACTCAATACAAGAACAGAAAATCAAATACAGTATGTTGTCACTTAATAGTGAGAGCTAAACCTAAATATTGAGTACACATGGACACAAAGATTGAAACAAAAGACACTGAGTACTACTAGAAGGGAGGCTGGGAGTGGGGTAAGGGTAGGGTAAGGGTTGAAAAACTACCTCTTAGGTACTATGCTCACTACATGGGTGATGGCATCATTCCAACACTAAATCTGAAGGAAATACAGTTTGTCAATATAAGAAACCTACACATGTATCCCTTGAGCCTAAAATAAAAGTTGAAAAAAAAACACAAAACTTAGTTTAATTTTGTTGCACCATTAAAAAATAGTTCACTCACACACACAAAAAAACTCTCAGTCATTTAACTTTGGAATTAATTCTATTGGTTATCCTCATTTATTTCTGTTTTTCCAATTACTTTAGTCAAATAAGTATCCTTTAAATGAAGTCTTTTAATTTCTGTTTTTCTTCTTATCAGGTCCTTCCACTTATATAAAATAAATATTTATTCCATATCTGCCAAGGATCCACTCTCTTCTGCTTCAAAGACCTATTTGAAGAAACTTTCTCACACATTATGAAGCTTCATCTGTCTCAGGAGTATTACTAGAGAAAACAGGCAATACAAAATGAAACTTCCTTTTAGATTATTAAAATTATTCCATTTTAACTTATTTTCTTTATAACCTGAAGCTGAGTAAAAACATGTGCAAGTATATGATTAGATGGAATTTATAATTATAAATCTAAACTTTTCATCTCTTTCTGTGCTGCAGCATGAGACAATCTACAGCATAAGTGATTTTGCAGCAAGCACATTAATCTGTTCTCCATGTCATACTTTTCTGCTATGCTGGTATTAATATTATTCTATGCTGGTATTAATATTAATATTATGTTTAATTATGTTTAAATATTATTAAATTAATATTAATAATGCCCTTTAGTTAGGACATTATTGCTCTCTGTGGTGTTGTATTAGTCTGTTCTCAAGCTGCTAATAAAGATATTTCCAAGGTTGGGTAATTTCTAAAGCAAAGAGGTTTAATTGGCTCACAGTTCTACATGACTGGGAAGGTCTCACAATCATAGCAGAAGGTTAAAGAGGAGCAAAGGCACACCTTACATGGCAGCAGGGAAGAGAGTGTGTGTAGTGGAACTGCCCTTTTATAAAACCATCAGATCTCATGAGACCTATTCACTTCATGAGAACAGCACAAGAAAAACCTTCCACCAGGATTTAATTACCTCCTACCAGGTACCTCCCAAGACACATGAGAGTTGTGGGAGCTATAATTCAAGATAAGATTTGGCTGGGGACATAACCAAACCATATCATTCCACCCCAGGCCCTTCCAAAATCTCATGTCCTCACATTTCAAAACCAATCATGCCTTCCCAATAGTTCCCTAGAGACTCAACTCATTTCAGCATCAACTAAAAAGTCCACAGTCCAATATTTCATCTGAGACAAGGCAAGTCCCTTCTGCCTATGAACCTATAAAATCAAAAGCAAGTTAGTTACTTCCCATATACAATGGAGGTACAGGAATTGGGTAAACACATTATTCCAAATGGGAGAAACTGGCGAAAACTAAGGGGCTAGAGACCCCATGCAAGTCTGAAATCCAGTAGAATAGTCACTAAACCTCAAAGTTCCAAAATGATCTCCTTTGACTCCAAGTCTCACATGCAAGTCACACTGATGCAAGAAGTGGGCTCCCAAGGCCTTTGGCAGCTCTGCCCCTGTGGTTTTGTAGTGGAGAGCCATCATCCCAGCTGTTTTCACAGGCTGGAGTGTCTAAGGCTTTTCCAGACATACAATGGAAGCTGTCGGTGGATCTATGATTCTAGGGTCTGGAGGGCAATGGCCCTCTTCTCACAGCTCTGGTAGGCAGTGCCCCAGTGGGGATTCTGTGGGGGGGATCCCACCCCACATTTCTCTTCTGCACTGCCATAGTAGAGGTTCTCCATGACAGCCCTGCTCCTACAGTAAATTTCTTCCTGTACATACAGGGGTTTCCATACATCTTCCGAAATCTAGTTGGAGGTTCCCAACTCAATTTTTGATTTACATGCATCTGCAGGCTCAACACCACGTGGAAGCTTCCAAGGCTTTGGGCTTGCACCCTCTGAAGCAAGGGACTTAGCCCTTTTTAGCCATGGCTGGAGCAGCTGGGAAGCAGGGCACCAAGTCCCTAAGCTGCTCACAGCATGGGGGCCCTGGGTCTAGCCCAGGAAACCATTTTTTCCTCCTAGGCCTCAGGTCCTGTGCTGGGAGGGGATGCTGTAAAGGTCTCTGACATGCCTTGGAGACATTTTCCCCACTGTCTTGGCAAATAATATTTGGCTCCTTGTTGCTTATATAAATTTCTGCAGCTGGCAGAAATGGGTTTTTCTTTTCTACAGCATTGCCCGCAAACTTTTCAAACTTTTATGTTCTGCTTCCCTTTTAAACATATGTTCCAATTCTAAACCATGTCTTTGTGAATGAATAAAACTGAATGCTTTTGAAGGGCACCCAAGTCATTTCTTAAATGCTTTGCTGCTTAGCAATTTCTTCTGCCAGATACCCCAAATCATCTCTCTCAAGTTCAAAGTTTCACAGATCTCTAGGGAAGGGGCAAAATGCCACCAGTCTCTTTGATAAAGCATAGCAAGGATCACCTTTGCTTTAGTTCCAATAAGTTCCTCATCTCTGAGACTACCTAAGCCTGGACTTTATTGTCCATATCACTATCAACATTTTGGTCAAAGCCAATCAGCATGTCTCTAGAAAGTTTCAAACTTTCCCACATGTTCCTGTCTTCCAAGTCCTCCAAGTATCCAGGAAGTCCCAAACTATCCCACATTTTCCTATCTTCTTCTGAGTCCTCCAGACTGTTCCAACCTCTGCCTGTGATCCAGTTTCAAAGTCACTTCCATACTTTCAGGTATCTTTATAGCAGCACCCCAGTACCAATTTACTGTATTAGTCCATTCTCATGCTTCTAATAAAGACACATCTAAGACTGGGTAATTTATAAAGAAAAGAGGTTTAATGGACTCACAGTTCCACATGGTTGGAGAGGCCTCACAATCATGGCAAGAGGTGAAGGAGGAGCAAAGGCATGTCTTATATAGCAGCAGGCAAGAGAATGTGTGTAGTGTAACTGCCCTTTTACAAAACCATCAGATTTCATGAGACTTATTCACTATCATGAGAACAGCACAGGTAAAACTTGCCCCCAGATTCAGTAACCTCCCACCAGGTCCCTCCCATGACATGTGGGACCTACAATTCAAGATGAGATTTCAGTGGGGACATAGTCAAACCATATCAGGTGTTTTAAACAACATGCACACTCACGGGGAGGAGAATGGCTATAAGGTTTACTCAATGTGTCATCTTGAGCCAATCTTGAAAAACTCCATAATATTTAATAATGGTCATTTAATGTAAGACTTTGATTCTTACACTGATTTTAATCTTTAAACATTACAAACATCACTTTGAGAACTGATTGCAAAACTGTTAAATAATTACTAATAAATACAAATACTTACCTGGGAAAGCTGCAAAAGTAATTCTGTCTCCAGGAACAGACCCATTTGGAGGTGCCAAGATTTCAACTTTCTCTGGTGAACTAGCACACATGACCATTGCTTGAGACAATACTCCCCTCATCTTTGCAGGTTTCAGATTACAAAGTAAAACCACCATCCGATTTTGCATCTGTATAAAATATAAACTGGTAAGTAAAGATGTACACAGATTAAGCCTAATCATAGCCAGACTATATTAAGCTACACTTAATATGCTAAGTATCAAATGTTCTACTTTTGTGGATGTACCTTTGTCTCTCTGTGCCCAAAGTCTCTTACTGTTGTTACGAAGCTTTACATAAATGTGAAAAAAAAATTCTAAACTGATAATGCATTATGGTTAAAAGAACAGAGGAATTTCAGTTAAAAATGTACTGAATAAATAAATAAGTGAAACATTTGTCTTTGAACTTCAGCTGCCATTCACTAGCAATGAGAATGCATAAATTTGACATTCCTGTTTGCTAAAAATCAGAGAAATCATATTGAAGAATTGTCATAAGGATTAAATCATAATACACATATAAAGCATTTAGCCTAGCATTAGAATAATGCACACATTCATGCATGTGCATTTTATTCCCTTACATTTGTTCATTTACAGAGCTATGCTAGATTTATTTTTTAATAAAAAAAAAAAATTGGCTGGGCGTGGTGACTCATACCTATAATCCCAGCTCCTTTGGAAGCTCAGGCAGGCAGATTGCTTGAGCCCTGTAGTTCGAGACCAGCCTGGGCAACATGGCAAAACCCAGTCTCTACAAAAAAATACAAAAATGCGCTGGGCATGTTGGCATGCACCTGTAGTCCCAGCTACTTGGTAGGCTGAGGTGGAAGGATCACTTGAGCCTGGAGTCTGCTATAAGCCTTGATTATGACACTGAACTCCAGCTTGGGCAACAGAGAAAGACCCTGTCTCAAAAAAAAAAAAAAACAGAAAACATTTAACAATTCCAGCATTATGCATCATGCAAGTAACAGGTAGGCTATTTCTATAAGTTTTTTACAGAAGCAAATAGAATTTCTTTAATCTTCAAATCTAAAGTGTCTTTTTTTTCCAACTAGCAAAAATAAGAAATACAGTTATTTAAATTTTTCCAACAGGTTTAAAATGAATCATACAAGAGGAGTATTGTTCAAAGGAGAAAAAAAGATGCATTTTAGATAGTTTCTATAAATAAATGTTATATGAAAATTTACTCTGAAATTCTATGATTTTAAAAAAATGAGCCTAAGAGTCAAATTCAAAATGAATTACGGGGTCTTCATAAATAATATTTATCTTCAAATGCTTCAAATAAAGTGACAATGTCACACATATGAAAACTTAAAAGTTATAGCAAAAATGTTTAAGAGTAGCAACAAGATTAGTTGGATGCAATCCTTTAAGGATCTGATGATAACCATATACCTTTTCCCTAGAAAAATGTACGACCTACAAAATACAGTATGTAATTTTGAGAACTAAGTGACCCTGCTTTATAGAATGTTTACTAGTACTATCTTTTTTTTTTTTTAACTTTTATTTTAGGTTCTCTCTTGATGAGTTAGAAACAGATGTTTATAAAAATAGCTTTGCTTATAGTTGTGAATGATGGCTGCTGGAAGAGGAAAAAATAGTCTACAACTTATAAGAATAGAAAAGATGAACCCCAAATGAGGAGTTTTTCCAATTTAAGTTGCCTTAAGATCAGTTGCTTCTTTTCTCAAGTTCCTAACTAAATAAGGAGTTATGAATCTGCCTTGGTCCTATATAAATAATAAATATTAAAAAGGAAAAAAACACATGCATATGACAAGTCTATCTCTTTTTTCATAGATAAGAGAAACTTCACTGATCTCCTTAATTCCATCTCCTTCCCATCAACAGAGCAGGCAGAATGATCCTATTAAAACGTTAGGCTGACCAATGTTATTCTTTTGCTCTAAAATCCTACAATGGCTTTCGTCTTACTCAGAAAACATGCCGAACTCTTTACAATTATCTATAAGTCATTTGGCACCCTTATCTCTTTCATCTCCCATGACTTTCTCACTTATTTACTCTGCTCTTTTCATATTGGCCTTCTGCTATTCCTTGAACACCCCAGGCATCCATCTCTCCCAGGCTGCCTGAAATGCTCTTCAGTCAGATAAACACTTGCTTTCATTTTCTCAGATCTTTACTCAATGTCATTTTCTTTATGGGGTCTTCCCTGGGCACTTTATATAAAATGTCAACATGATCCTCGCCTCAATACTTACTAGATTCTTTCCCTACTTGATTTTTCTCTGGGCACTTATTATAACATACTATATATTTACTAATGCCTTGATAATATTTCTGATTCCCTTATAGGAATGTAAGTTTCACAAAGGCAGGGTTATGTTTAAAAATATGTTTGTTGCCTGGGTGTGGTGGCTCACACTTATAATCCCAGTATTTTGTGATGCCGAGGCAGGCAGAATCACCTGAGGTCAGCAGTTCGAGACCAGCCTAGCCAACATGGTGAAACCCCATCTCTACTAACAATACAAAAAATTAGCCAGGCATGGTGGTGGTGTTCGTAATCCTAACTACTCAGGAGGCAGAGGTTGCATTGAGCCGAGATTGCCTCATTGCACTCCAGCCTGAGTGACAGAGTGAGACTGTATCTCCGGGAAAAAAAAAAAAAAAAAGTTTGTCTATCTCTGTATTTTAATTTGTTGATGTATCCTTTATTTAGGTGCCTAACAAATACTCTCAGCTATACATATAATTGAATAGACACAGGGATTTGTTCAAGTTCACAAAACCAAGAAGCAGCAGAGTGGCAATAAACAAAGGCAGAACTATCTTAATGTTGAAGTCCATATTCTTTGCAATATATCTGAAGCACCATGGGTCAGAGGAAATAGTAGATGATTCAAATCACTATAGAAAACTTCTAGAAAAAGGACATTTAAAACTATTACTGTCTTTGATTCTTTCCACTGTTATTAAATACATTTTTTAGTAAATAAATACAATAAAGTAAAGAAAAAGGAAGAAAGTAAACTTTTGCTGAGAAGGAGGTTTGAAAGCTTGTAAGAAAAAAAAAGCAACAGTTTGAAAACACGACTCTGAAGGGTATCATCATGGGGTATCACTTTGCTTTTAAAATAGTTAGCATGCAAGGTTATCCTTTATAAAATATACCATAACTACTTTTCACATATTCCGAATACCCAGCTCTAATTCTACTATAGAAATAATTAAATTTTAAATAAAGAATAGTATTATATAAACTGTAACCATGGTTTGTTTTCTGAAGTGACACAAAATCACATTCCTTGGTGCTAAACTCACCAGAAGAAAGGAAAAGTGGAGATACTCTAAGCTTCTCCTATCGATTTCTTTTATGAAACACTTAAAACCCAAACTTCACTGGCTCAGATAATTAATCACTGGAGACTTAAAAGAAATGAACTTCTTAAGTAGGAAGTAGAAGAAATCACTTCCTTGTACTCTTGATGATAAGTCAATATTGATCCATTACCTGTACTGTGTTCCAGCAATGTTGAAATTAGAGAGCCAAAACAAAAGCCCAGGCCAGGGATCAATTGTGATGCAATTATGATAAAATCATTTATGAAGTTAGTAAAGGAAATGAGTAAGGAACCCTAGATAGAAAAAACAAGTAATAATCTTATTTTTTTGAGACATGGTAAAAAAAGACAGTTGAGTCTCCCCTTAACCTTCCGTAAGTATAACACTAGCAGAAAAATAAAGATAAATACCAAATAATCACAACTGACCCTCCATCTCAACTATGGAATGATTGAAACTGTGGCAAAGAGTGTAACTTCCACCTAAAGGGGCTATCTACTACTACATGTTAGCCAATTTCTGCCTCAAGAAAACAGCAGGGTGTTGGGAAAGGTGGGGATAAAGTTTAGTTCTGAATTTTTAAGAAAAAATACATCAGGATTTTCATGTAAAATTCCATGTGGAAGTATTTTATGAAATACTATGAAAGATAAACTAAAACTTTTGGGGACTGCATTCTTTCCTTTGCCCAGCGGTTTATAATTTATGACCCTGGTCATGTGTATGGCTCTAAAAACCACATAGTACCTGTAGTTAGAAGCTTCATTACTAATTAACCTTGAATAGTACACAAGAAAGCTGAACAGTATAGTGATTAGAGTGAGATGAATGAGTATATATACATATATACAGAGATCACAAGTTGGTTTACTTTCAAAACATCATCTGTAAATGGGGATGATACTTCTTAACTGAGAGTTGTATATAGTAAGAAATAAAATAGCATGTGAAAAACATTCATATATTAAGTACTTCTAACACATTAGTCATCATAATCATTATTTTTATCACTGTTCCATCGTGGAATTTTATCATTCGTTGCTATTTAAAATCATGTAATATAAACCCAGCAAGCACCAATCTATGAGAACAAACAAGAACAAATTTTATTTCTCTAAAACCCAAAAATGCATTTTCATACTTGAGGAAAAATGAGGAGAGGGGGTCATGGAGATTAAACCTGCAATTTTTAATGGTATTCCTTTATTTGTTAAAAATGGGATGTTTTGTATTTTGTTGTTACTTAGATTTTACAAATATATATATATTTTTTATGCCAAATACAAAAGTAAAAAGATTTTAAAAATAGAGAAAATAAATATTTTCTTCTTCTTATCCTCATGCATTCTATCTTAATTTACAAATATTTTACAGGTTTTTGGTGGTTTTATGCTTTTCTTGTTGAATTAACCACATTCAAACTAATCAACTGAACTAATCAATAATGGCACATGTTGTACGGCATACAAAATTACATGCAAAGATATCAAGAAAGAGGGAATGAAAATGATGTATGTACACAACAGTAACTTCAGTTGTAGAGATTACCTGTTCAAGAGGAACATGATTCACCAGGCCACTGACAACTGTTCTTGGGGTTATTTCTCCAACATCTACTTCTTCTACATACAAAGAATCTGCATCAGGGTGTTTTTTGGCAGTTATGATGCAACCAATTCGAAGATCCAGACGGGAAACATCTATTGGACTAGAGTTGGTACTTCCAGCTACTGATTGCTGTTTTTTCTCCTTCTTCTCTATTAAAAAGTATTTATAAGTGGGTAAGAATCAGAAATAAAACCAAACAAATAAAACACTATGAAAACTCCATGGAATCAATACTGACGAGCTTAAAAGGAAAAAAAAATTATCTCCTACATTCAGTGAAATAATAACAAAGAAAAAAATTATCAAAGTCATAAAATCTTGAAACCTATTTTAGCTATTTCTCTGTTGTATTTCTATTTGAAAGGTGGTGTGAGGTTGGCAAACTATGGCTGATGGCTCAAATCCAGCCTGTTGCCTGTTTTTGTAAATAAAGTTTTACTGGAAGAGAACCATATTCATTTATTTACATATCATCCATAGATACTTTTGCACCAGGGCAGAGTTGAGTGGTTGTGACAAAGGCTTTATGGCAGAAAAAGTTTGCCTTTCCCTGAAACAGGACAATAGACAATCCTCTAAAAACTTTTACTATGGCTCTTTGGAAGATGACAAACTCTTCATTTAGAAAGAACACCACAGTACCCAAATGATAGAATGAACTAGAGTGAAATACATTTTAACTGATCAAATATTTTCCTCATCACTTATATATTCTAATAAGTATACAATTAATTTCTTCATTTCTTAGATTTGGGGTTATCCACAGTAACGATTTAAGCATATAAGAATATTTTATTTTGATTATGTTTCAATATTTTTATTTACTTGCTGGAAATGTAACTCTTATTAACACATAATTATTTTAGCTACTGAGTTAAATGCAACCTACAAAGAGAACTCATATTCTTTAAGATTACAACTAGCTTTTCTATCCAAAAAAAAGTAAAGGCAAAATAAAACCTTATTTGCCTTTGAATCCACAAAATAGAGATAAATTGTTGTAGCTTGGAAGTGTTCTTTTTCAACTATACATTTATTTAATCTTTCAACCTATATTTACTGAGTGCCATGACAATGGCTTACCAAAGAGGGGATGGAACTAACTTAAAATACTGGCCAATTTTTAAATGTCAGTAGCAAGCTTTTAAAAAATTTCACTTTCCATAAGTTAGCAAAGATTTTTTAAACGGTAAAAATCCAAATGACACACAAAAATATATACAACAAAATTACCAGAATATACCAAAATCTTAATAGTTATCTTTGTATGATAAACTATATATATTTACTTAAAAATTGTATTATGATATATCTATATTTGCATATATTTTAAAATTCTAATCTACTTCCTAGGCATTTGAAATACTTTTATCAGGAATCCCCATTCCAGAAATGATTGCAAATATTAAAATCTATACCAAGATCTTTGTTAATTATCATAAGGAATTGCAGAAATTCTACACTGACAAATGAGTGATGCTCAATTAAGATATGTGGCAGTCTAACTGGGTGTGGTGGCTCACACCTGTAATCCTAGCACTTTGGGATGCTGAGGTGGGTGGATCACCTGAGATCAAGAGTTTGAGACCAACCTGACCAATATGGTGAAACCCCATCTCTACTAAAAATACAAAAATTAGCTGGGGGTGGTGGCGTGAACCTGTAGTCCAGCTACTCAGAAGACTGAGACAGAATTGCTTGAACCTGGGAGGCAGAAGTTGCAGAGAGCCAAGATTGCACTACTATACTCCAGCATGGGTGAAAGAGCGAGACTCCGTCTCAAAAAAAAGATATGTGGCAGTCTAGAAAGATTATATAGAGACCACAGCCCTTGTATAAGCAGAATCTGGCAATTCTAGCTAGTAGCCAAACACCTTTGGAACAGCCCTCTATAAACAGCACTGTCCAATATGGTAGCTGCCAGCCACATAGTTTATTTAAATTTAAAATAATTTAAATTAGAAATTCAGTTTAGTCATACTACCCACAGTTCAAATCTTTAATAACCACATGTGGCCATTGGCTACCATGTTGAATAATGCAGATATAGAGTGTTTCTATTATCATATGTAGAAAGTTCCATTGGACAGAAGAGTTCTACTCCTGTAATTCCATTTGGCTTTGTGGTCTTGTGTGCTCCCTCTTCCATCAAAGGAGAGCCTTGTTGCCTTCTCTTACTAGGAGACAAATTAATCCTGAGTCAGAACAGTGCAACCTGCTTAGAGAATAGAATACAGATCCTACCAAATTTGCAAGAACAGGTTATATAGTTGTTCTGTGTCTACTTCTTAACATAATTTTTACACTAAAAGAATTAATCTGACTTGCTTTCTTTATATTCATACCACCCAGTGGTGAAGTTGTTGCATAGAGGCTGTACAGCCCCTAACTACTTCTAACTAGCAGAGGTTACTGATGTTTGCCAAAGGAACTGGCAAGTGCTTTAGAGACTAAATTGACTTGAGTTAGTTCACAAATCCCTCTGCCATGTTATATTTTCCCCCAAAAAATGTAAATAAGTTTAAGTGTAATAAGAGATATGCATAATTATTTATAAAGGCACCTTTTAGACATACCTGGGGAAAGGAAGTCAGATTTATGATGAGAAAAAATAGCTTTAGGAGCAAGGTTAAAAAATAAATGAAAAAAAGATTAGGCTTTAATATTAATTCAGATGAAAGATCGTGAAAACCTGAATTAAGGTAGCACCTAATGAAAGGAAAAACCAGAGCCGGGGTCTATGTATGTTTTAGAGACAGGAATCATAGGATTTGTTGGTTAATTAGACATGAAGAATGAAGAATGAAGAATAGGGACAGGCAGGTTGATGACTAGATTTCAAGGGTTGTTGCCTAAGTGGATGGTGACATTTCTTTCTACTTTAGTTCTCATGGATTCCTGAAATCTTAATACCTCACACTCTAGTTCAGACAGTCTGCTCTGACCGGTGGAATGTCCTTTTCCTATCATCACAACTGGTCCTAAGCTAGCTTCCCATCTAGGACTTCTCTCAAACTATGCCACAAATAGATACCAAAATTCAGCCATATCAAACTACATATGGGTTTCTACACTTAATCTTGACTGTCTGTTTTTACTTATGCTGAGCCCTCTGCCTAAAATGCCACATTTTTACCCTACTAATCTGGTCAACATTCACACACCATTTAGGACCCAGCTTGTATGTTCCAATATCATATTGTTCCTAATCTTATCCTAGCTCATGAAAGTTGAACTTTCTTTTTGATACCATTATTATTATCACTATCAAAATTTGACATTTTCTGATAATCCAGTCAACAGCTAAATATGCTTAAAGGTCAAAAATACCTTTATTTTCAGTTTTCTCTTTTGCTTTCTTTTCTTCTCCTGTTCCTCCTTTTATCTGTTGTTTGGTACCAAAAGATACGGTTGTTACTGGTGTAGACTGTATCACATTTTCAGAAACCACAGAATTAGCTTCCAAGGGAGCACCAGATGGAAATGGTATTTGCTTCACTGAGACAGAAAATAAAATAATGTCATTCATATTAAGTCAATAAATATGATAAAAATATAAAATTATAAACCATAAATAAGAACTCATTTTAAAAGAAAAATTCACTGTATATAGTTACCAAGTATCCACTGTCTGACACTACAAAATGGCTGTCAAAAAAATTAAGCATATTTTAGCAATTACTGAGGTATCAAAGAATAAAGGCATGATTCCCATTTAATCAATAATTACTAAACTGAGAAATCTGCAGATAAGAACAATAGCTAACATTTATTATGAACTTACTATGGCCCAAACACTTTTCAAAATGCTGTATATGAGTTAACCCATGTACTTCTCAAACTCTAAGAAGTAGGTTCTATTCATGCCCCATTTTATTGATAAAACTGAGTCATCCAGAAGTTATGAAGTTGGCCAAGTTGCTTGGATACAGATTCTTACTTCTTTCCTCACTGTCAGTGTGACTGGCCAACTTCTTAACTTCTGGATTACTCAAATTTTCTCTATTTAATTACCTCCATTTTGAATTTCTGCTTGAATGAGCTCTTGTTTCAGTTCTTCAATTTCTTTCTTTAGTTTAGCATTTTCAACTCGAAGTTTCTTCTCTTCCCTCAAAGTTGCCTGCAAAACTAGGATCAAGAACATCCAGTTGACATATGTGTGGGTTTTGTTTTTTTTTTGAGATGAAGTCTCACTTAGTCACCCAGGTTGGAGTGGAGTGGCACGATCTCGACTCTCTGCAACCTCTGCCTCCCAGGTTCAAGCAACTCTCCTGTCTCAGCATCCCAAGTAGCTGAGATAACAGGTGAGCACCATCATACCCAGCTAATTGTACTATCTTTAGTAGACATGGAGTTTCACCATGTTGGTCAGACAGGCCTTGAACTCCTGACCTTGTAATCCACCTGCCTCGGCCTCCTGAAGTGCTGGGATTACAGGCGTGCTGTGCCCGGCTAAAATATGTGTTTTTAAAAAAGGCTTTGAATGAATACTACTTGAAAAGAAGACAGCCAGTATAACTAGAGCTAGGAAAATACTAGCTCTAGTGTAACCAAATGTTTGGCCAGTGCCTTTATGCCAGTTTAATATTTATTAAAACAACATGATATTTAAGATAGAGAGGAAAAAAAGAAAACATATAATAGTAAAAGAGAAAGGCTTTATGAATCATTTTCCTAGCTTCTATTAAGATGCTAACTAAGATCAAATTACCACGTTTTCAGCATTACAGCTATAATAAAGGGCAACTTAAGAAGCTGGCACAAAAATGTGAATATGTAGCCAACATCACTGGCTCATGCCTATAATCCCATAATCCCAGCACTTTTAGAGGCTGAGGCAAGAGGATCACTCGAGCCCAGGAGTTTGAGACCAGCCTGGGCAACATGGCAAAACCCCATCTCTACAATAAATACAAAAACTAGCTTGGGGTTGTGGTACATTCTGTGGTCCCAGCCACTCAGGAGACTGAGATGGGAGGACTGATTGAGACTTGGAGGTTGAGGATGCAGTGTGAGCCGGTAGATTGTGCCACTGCACTCCAGCCCAGCTGACAGAGCAAGACCTTGTCTCAAAAGAATTTTTAAAAAAATAAAATAAAATGTCAATAAGAGATATTGAAAGAGATAAGCATTATATTAAATTACATTTTTTAAAAAGTCTGAGACATTACCACACAATAAAAAACTATTCTTATGTCTTTCTTTTTAGTTATTACCTTTTAAAAGAAGCTGAATATTGCTAAAGTCTGAGTTGAGCTAATCAAACATTCAATGAGTGAAGTAACTCAAGGATTTGCTCAAAATATAATGTATGCATTAAGGTGTGCAATGGGGTAACAAAAATATAAGAGAAAAATAATGGTTCTCAGTGGGGTTGGTTCTGCTCTGTAGGTAGGATTTTGAAAATCGGTGGGATTATTTGATTGTTGGTACTGGTATTTAATAAGCAGAGGCCAAGAATGCCAGATGTCCTACAGTATGCTGCATACTCCTGCAAAATGAAGAACTGTTTTACATTCTGCAGAACTTCCTAGAGGTCTATAATAAATTTGTATAGGTAAAAATCCCGTTAATAATTATTTGAACCAGTATTTTAACTATTCTTTATATATACATACAAAGTATTTTTAAGCATGCTATGATACCTTAAAGTTTCCATGAATCAAGTACCATATAAATCAAGAGTGGACTGTACCTTCTTTTAATCAAAGCATTATCTAATCAATCACTCATCATTTTCAGTAAATCATCTACATCACTAAAATATACTTCTGGTATCTAAGATACCTACACAAAGGCAGTCTGACTATACATCTATCCTAGTCAGCATTGTACCTATTGCATTTTTGATGATTCCATGTATGTGAATCACGTGGCATGTGACCCTCTTACACTGCCTCTGGTGGTATAATCCTGGGGAAGTATTACTTACTAAAATATATATTATTATTACCTACTTATACCTTTCTAATTCTCTATTATATACAGGATTCATATATTTTTTAAAATTATATATAGGTAGTTTATTTTTCTAAGAAATATTTTCCTTACAAGATATTAACAGAGATTTTATTAAGTACTTATTCTAAATTAGGAGGAATATGACTAAAAACAGCCAGTATAGGCTACAAAAGAATAATAGAAAGGTGAAGAATAAGTAAAAAAGATTTTCAAATCAACAAAACTGAAATGCTTGTCAAGGTGCTAGGAAATGGCCACCTATGGAAAGCAAAATTCTGTTTAAAACATATATTATATCATACAAGCAATGACTATGTCCAATCTCTTCATCTTATTAATAAAAAGAGAGTAAAAATTTTAAGAAAAATAATTTAAAAATCTCAAACATTATTTAAAAAGAAACAAAGTGGCATGTTAAAATCAGAAAAAAAAATGATAAAGGAAAAAGTTTCTGCAGAGTAAATACAGGTTTTTGTTTACACTACAAAATGTAGAAGAGCATTTATTTCTACTAGTGGCAGCAAAATATTTCCAAATTTCTATTCTAACATTAACACTGACTATTGTGAAGAAAATACATTTAAACAAACAGAACTGAAACCAAAGTTCTGAAGGTAAAAATTCTGATATTTTTCTACATAGAACACACACTTCTAAGTAAAACTTAAATAACTTATGTGGTAAACATCATTTTTCCCTTTGTCAATGTATAAATTCATTTTAAGTATCTCCTTAGAAAATTTGAAATTTTCTTACTTGCTTTCTCCTTAAGTAGAGCAACCTGCTGCTTAAGATATTCAATGATTTGATCTGCCTCTGCACCCTTCTGCTCTAGTCTCTTCAGAACAGCATCATTATTTGCCATTTTTGCCAAGAGGCAGCAGAAAATCCTAGATGAAAAAATAAAAGTAATAAATTACACTGTGAAAGGAATAAATTTATACTATAGGAGAGCATGAAAAAGCAGTCTGAAAAGGAAAACATTTTCTACTGTAATAGATAAATATGTTAGAAAAATATTTTTCCTATGAAGAGCAGCAGGCCAAACAAATAGCAGAAATGTTAAGTAGACTAATTCCTTAATCTATTTGGAAGAGGAAATATAATTTGTACCTAATGCAGAAAACAGACTAGCCCCATTTAAGGCTGAAAGGTTTCAAAGAAAGTTTCAGGTACACTAAGAGATAAGAGTAACAATAACTTTATGCTAAGGAGTATTACACCTGTGCTCCAAAGTGAAGAGTTGCTGACTTCATTCCTTTTATATTTCTGTATACTGGATCTTTCTACTGTGTATTTACTTATCTACAATATTCAAGAAGAAAATGTCACTTAGGAAAAACAAATATTAAAAAAAGAGATAATTAAGAAAACAATATTAATCATATGCTTGTTCTGATATAATGTCAGTATATACTGTGTCCTTTAACTTAAAAATTAGAATTTTAGTTTTATAATAAATTCAGAGAAATTTTAAAAAATACTACCAAGGTACATGTAAGCAAACAATCTGAGATTAATTCATAATGTTAAAGTTTAAATTGCTACATACTAAGAAAAATAATCACATTCACAACAGAGAGAGTTAATTGTTAGCAATACTATGAACTGTTCTTTTTTACCTGATTAAATAAGAATTTATAATTCAAGGTAAAACAATGACACAAGCATTGCTGAAAGAATTCTAATTAAAATAAATAAAGCAGCACTCAATATTAATGGTGAAATTTTTAATAAAAACTGGACATAACAACAGATTGACAATTTCAAATTATTATATAATACCAATTCTATACAAAGACTATTCTGAAAAGCCACAATAAACTGGCTGGTATTTATGTTTGAGGTGACTGTCCAGACCTGTGGGCTTATTTATGAGCATTAGTCTATACTTAAATCTACTTGTTTCATATCAGTTAAGATACTAGTTTTTTAGTTTTCTTTCTTAATTTTGACATTTGAATAAGATGCTTTGAGTCATACCTTTTCAAAATGTATTTTTCTAAAATGTACCATGATTCACATTCATCTTAGTATTATTCATCAAATACGTCTTTGCTAGAGATGTACAAGTTGCCAATTCTGCCCCATCAGATACACATTATTGTTTGTGATAGGTACATTTCACCTGTTGATATATTTTATCATTATTTATGTTGGACTAAACTAGAAAATAGTTAAAAACTAAAGAAATGCTGTAACTCAGGACACTAAAATTCAGAAGAGCATACTTTATTTACTTTAACTTTCTTCATATATCCATTTCTATTAAGATATTTTCTCTACAATTCTGGCTTTGCAAACATTTAAGTAACAACAACATGGTATTCTGTGTACACTTTGGTAAAAATGGCAGTTTAAAAGGTGGTATCTTCATTTGAATTTTTGTGCTCTTTTGGACTATATTTTTCTAAACTGTTAAAATAATAGTCCATATAGAATAATGCTCATAAATAAGCCAAGAGGTCTAGATAGTCACTTAAAAAAAAATACCCACCACGTTGCTGAAAAATCAAAATAAGAAACTCATTTTCTGACTCACACAAAAACATTTAAAAAATCTTCTGAGACTAACAGTAATTTGCAAAACAGAGATAATAAATCCTAGCCTAAGAGAAAAAAAATACTGAGTTGATACATCTGTTAACTATCTGTAAAACATAACTGGAACAATGAGTTACATAAAATATGACTTTTAAAATACATATTAAAGAACAAGCATAAGTTTAGGAAGGAGAATGTCATGTTTCAAAACACACAAACACAAATGAACTAAACACACATATGCAACTGCTAAGATGAAACAACATCATAAAGAGAAGTGATAAAACTTTTTTTTTTTGAGACAGTCTTGCTTTCTCGCCCAGGCTGGAGTGCAGTGGCATGATCTTGGCTCACTGCAACCTCTGCCTCCTGGGTTCAAGTGATTCTCCTGCCTTAGCCTCCCAACTGGGATTACAGGAGACTGGCCAAATTGTGAAGTTTTAGCAGAGTTGGGGTTTCACCATGTTGGCCAGGCTGGTATCGATATCCTGACCTCAACTGATCTGCCTGCCTTGGCCTCTCAAGGTGCTGGGATTACAGGTGTGAGCCACTGTGCTGGCAGCCAGCCTTTACTTCTTCTCCAGTCCTAGATAACTGGTTATCTGGAAATATTATTCATGATGACAATATTTAAAATGTTTCATCTTGTGAAATCTAAAAACATTTCACTTCTAGTTATGTCTCTCTGCTAACATAAGTTTTCTCAAATGCTAAAAGCCATTTGCTGTCTTTGAAAAGAAGCCCTGAAAACAGTTTTTCTAATACTTGTTGATTATCACTTAAATTTTTTAAAAATATAAGTCCTCAGAGTTTCTAATATGTGAATATGTATAAGGTTTCTCACAGATTACAATAACAACTGCATAAGTTTATGTTAACGTTTTCTAGTAACATGCAGATAATGATCACTAGCACTGGCAGAGGAACAAAGGTTTTTTTCAGAAAGTTTATAAGCAAGCCTTGGGTAAATCATATATTTAGACTGTGTGACCTTGGTAAAGTTATCTAAATTTTTTATACTTTGTTTTCTTAATTTATAAAATTACTTTTATCTGATTTCACCTCCTACTTCCTTGTTACTTCCTTTCAGAGTTCCTTTTTCTTTATATGTCCCATTAATGACAACATTCTTCAGGGTTTGATCTTAATTGCTAATCCTTTCTAGGTATCACAAACTGACACCACAAAGTTCAGGGATGCCTTCTTTTCCAGGGTTAACAGTGTTGGAAATAACTGATGTGAATGTCTTTAAGCAAGACATACAGACACTTTACTACCCACTGTTATCTGTGATTTGTATTACCTGCCAGGTCCCTAAAAGTAAGTTCACGACCCCAACTTTATACTCCCCGATTTTGTGTCATATGCTGGGTTTATAGCAGAGAACAAAAATAATCATGTTCTTTGCACTAAGTTTTCAGACAAATGGGGGAAACGCAGTTGAAGACATTTTTAAAAATAATGTTATGCTTAGGGCACAGTGATCGTTTAACAACACTGCTTAAAGCTCAAATAAATCTTTTACCATTCAACCCAGTATTCATTTCATTAATCTATGCTAATTATTCTTCTGTGATTTTTCAATTTTACATTGAGTATAAGCTAACCTTCAAAATGTTAAGTCCTCAGCATTTCTAATATGTGAATATGTATAAGGTTTCTCACAGATTATAATAACAACTACATATATTTGTAGAACATGTACGATGGCTGGCTAAATACACAAGTAATTTAGAATACTGTAATAATCTCCATTATACAGAGAAAAAAACTTGAATTAAAATTAATTTGCCTCATGTAATATGTAGTTAGTAAATGAGGATTGAACTCAGGTCTGTCTGATGCTGCGGCTAACTCTTTTAATGCTCTAGCTATAATTTCTCTAAAGGATATAATTACGAAGCATTTTCCAACACATTTAATGACAGAATCCTAACCCAGGAATATCTATTAACATTTATTTAAAGTAGTATTCTCTAAAACAGTTTGGGAAATGCTGGTTTAAGTCTCTGGGCCAAAATAAAAAAAAGTTAAGATTGTGAGATTAAAATAGATATAACAATTACATGCACAATAATTGCAAATATAAAATATTTATGAAGAGAAAAACACAGAAAACAGTATACCAACTATGTTAATTGTGTTTGGTGAAAATCAAGACCTTTTCTTTTCCTTTACTAAATTAAAATGGTAATAATGAACATATTTTTTATGATAAAAGCTTCTGAAACATATTATCTAAATCATTCTGTCACTTAACATTAATTTTTGTCCTTCTCAATGTTTATTATATTTTATCAAATCTAAAAAGCCATTAGTCATATGATGCCTCTAACACAGAATCCCAAATTCTGTCCATGAATTTACGGTACATCTTAATCACTAAAATACACACAAAAATGGATTTTTAAGATTTTGAGATCTTTACTATCAATTTTGTTTATTCAGCAATTTCCTCAATAGTCCTCCGCACCCCATGTAATTGCCTGTAATTTCTTTTAAATAGCAAAATCTATGCTCCAAGCTGTCAACATTAGGAATCAAACATAAAAGTTACTACTTTGAAATAGTTTTACAGACAGATTTTTAATTATAGAATTCCTATGCTATATAGGAACTCTACACAAATTTGAAAGTATCTCTAGTCAAAACCTCTAATTTCACTATTTCAGAATTACATTTGGTAAAAATTTACATTTTTGTTGGAAGCTTTAAATACTTTATTTCAGGAAATCTAAAATGCCTTCAGTTGTAAAATGGCTTCAATCCCAAGAAGCTCTATTATTTTATGTACCATTATGAACAAAAAACCCTACTGAATCAACTGACCCAATGCTTTCTTATCACTGAGACACATCCTACATTATTTACCGAAATACTTCTTTTAAATTTAACCCTGGAATTTTATCTTGTATCACCCTTTTGTTTCCCTGTATAGGCAGTAACTTTTCATTCTAATGCTAATCATAATCTTCTGAAGGATATTTAAAAGGAAAATTAAACTCAACAAGTATATACCAACACTGCATATATAACTCCACTGAAATAATGACAATATTAAGTTATAACCAAGTGTGCATAAGTGTGGGCAATGACAAATATTTCACAACTGTCAATTCATCTATAGTGATTTAAAGATGTTAACAATTTAAAAATACCCGCCTATTTCAGAGATGTAAGTATGAGAAAAATGTCTATATCAGAGTTGATGGACTATAGTAATTTTATTCATTTTTTTCCTGTCTTCTCCTCCCTTCATGCCTTCCAACTTCTCTCCCTGATTTGCTACACGATCTAATTACTGGATATGTAAGAGTGTTACAGTATAAATAAAATACCCGACACTGAAAGAATGTCCTTATTATAGTGTTAAGTAATGTGGCACCTTTTAGAACTAGGTGAAAATTCCTCTTAGGATTTAAATAATATATGTCAAAAGTCAGAATTTAAAGAAGATAAGAAAATTAAATATGCTGAGAGCAATGCATCTCACGACACTCAAAATATGTAAATGCAAGCAATCAGCAGTAATTCCAAAGGTCTTTTATCAATCTTTGCCAAAACCTATAAAAAGAGTATCTAAAATTGATTTTTTATGAAAGTTCCTATTTATTCTTGCTTCCCTTACCAGAGAGTCTCCTTTCCCTTTACTGATGAGGACATAGGGAGTCCTGGAGGATTTAAAGAATGGCTATGAGAATGACTATAGAGTGGACAGCTTTGGGAGGCCAGTCCATGTATTTCTAAATACCACTGTCATTAACACAAAAATTTTCTCCCCAGTAGAGTCCATAACATTTAAAAAGGAGTATGTCTTGTCCTCCCATGACCCTCTTACCTCACAATAAGGCCATTTTTTACCTGGTTGAGATTTGCAGACTAGGCCCATTACATACCTTGTCATTAAATACCTGTAATATATCCTAATCTTTGCAATCTTGAGAGATATTATTTCCATTTTATAGACAGATCCAGGAAAATCACATGACTTACCTTATCCCTTCAAGTATCACATAGCAAAGCCATAATTTTAACTTGTGTTTGTCACTCTGAAACTCACACTGGAATTCATTTTTAAAGTGTCTTCCAAAGCCTAATTAAATAAAATTAACCCTGTCATCTATAATGCTCTTACATATCCAAATTAAGTGCACCAAGAATATAAATGGTCATTTCTCACCACCCATAGTGAAACCACCATCATGCTTCCTCTGGATTATTGCAAAACTCTCCTTATTGGCCTTCTTTCTCCCACCACGTCCTCTTCTATTTTTGTGATCCTTTTAAAAGGAAGTCAGATCACATCACTCTACTGCTCAAAACTCTCCAAAATCCTGTTTCGTTAAGAATAAAAGTTAGATGCCCTCAAGATCTTCATGACCTGCTTTCCTTGATTTAATCTCCAGTGAAGGATTAAACCCTTCACTCAACTTTGACCTACAGGCTTCCTTGCTATTTTGGCAAATTTCTGCTTCATGACCTTTGCAATGGCTTATCTCTCTGTCTGACTGCACTTCCTCAAGATACTTGCATGGTTAATAAATCTCCCACTTCTGTCAGCTCTTTACTAAAAGTCATCCTTTCCGTGAGACTTTCCTGTGTCACTCTAAAATTTCAACCTATATCCTTCTTCCCTGCTTTATATTTCTCTTCCGCACTCATCGCAACCTAAAATACAGCATGTTTCTAATTACTTTGCTTAGTATGTGCCTTCCTCACTAAAATGTGAGCTACAAGTAGACAGAGATGTCTGTCTATTTTGTTCATTGCTCTTCACCCGGAACGGTGCCTGGAATAGAGTGGGAGCTTAATAACCACTCAGTGAATGAATAAATTCCTGTCTTCACCCTCCTGTCCCCCAGAGCACCCAAGTCCTTTGACACACACACATTTACATAACAGTAAATACGCTTAGGGATCGGTTTTTTTCTAGTAGTATTCTTAACTTAGCCCTGCATCCTATTTCTCAAACGCGGCTCCTTTAGGAGGGTCTCCAGCTCTTTCCTGTTTCCTCAAGCCAGGGCTGGTCTTAGTGCGAGCGGACTACCCATTAGCACCCGCAGGCCAGGTCCTCTCTACTGGAGACGAGTTAGAGAAGGAAGACACCCCCACGACCGCAATCCGCGATCCCCATGTGGGTGACCCTCCACGACGTCACTCACATGAAGCGGCGGCCAGGCGTTCCCAGACAGCCACAGCAGGAAGCATGTAGGGACAACCACCCGCGCACTATAGCAGCGAGAAAGGACCCAATGAGGTGTCTTTGCTGAACGCCTGAGTGTTCTACAGATTCAATCCCAAATTCTGTCTTCCCCTTCCTGTGTGCAGTCCCATTAACCTGCCACACCACGCTCCTCGTCTTCCATTCCCTCACTCAGTATCTCCAACCGCCCCCACCCCCCCATCTCTTTCTTTCTCGCTATATTTCCTCGCCAGTTTGGGCAAGGGGCAGGACGCCAGACGTCGGGGTCTTTCCTTAGTGTTGGGTCGCGGTGGCTGTGAGAGCAGAAGAAAAGGCCAGGCTGAGGGGAAGGAGGAGGGTAAAAAGCTGGGAACTGTGCAGGGGAACCCTGGGCTCGCGGTCCCGGCCGGGTTCCGGGAAGGGAACCTTAGCTGAGTCGGTTGGCAACCTCTGAGCTCCCGGCGTTCCAGGAGCGGTCTCTTTTGTAGGAGTACCTGAAATGCAGCGTCTGGGGCACTAAGCCGTAGCGGCAACACCTGCCACAGCGACAGCGCTGGGGCCCTGTGTAGAAGCTCCATCCCCCTTGTCTTTGTGCCTGCCTACGTCCCCAGACTCAGAGGCAGGTATTTGGGTAATCCAGTTTTCCGTTCCGTAGTGGGTGGTGTCGTGGGAGGTAGAGGACTATCAGGAGCAGTGAGTGGCCCCGCAGGTCCCCAGGAGAGATGGAGAGCCGAGCTGTGGAGCGGGCATGCTGATGGGTACTGTCCTCATCCCTAGCTACAGCCCCCCTTTCCTACGAATCACACGTTCACCTGAGTCCTTTGAGAGCCGTAGGCACAGCAGTCCCTCTCTCACTGCCTCAAAGGAAGGCTAAAGGAGGAGGCTAGAGCATCTAGAATCCGCCCCTCGGTTACTCACCATAGAGGGAGAATTTCGCTTTGGTTTGTTTCTGGCCCTCGAGGTTTGGTCAGTTGTCGAAGTGTAACACTCCCTTGAGCAGTCGGAGAAAATGAAGCAGTGGAAGGAAGTTACTTGAGAATTGTCAGTGGCTGCTTTTCAAGGGCCCCTGCCCTGTTTCTATTTGGGACAAAAATAACCTTTTGAGGGAATGTATATATAAAGTAAATGAATTAGTATCATTTTCCTGTTGAAAAATGTGAAACTATAATTCATGATAAAATCAGTATCTTTTGCCCTATTTTTTACTTTCTCCCCTCTTTTGAGTCATAAGTTCTTTGAGGGCAGAGTTTAACTTGTTCATTGTCCTTTGCCCACCAGCTGGAAAAACAACTGGCTTAAAATAGGGGCTTCAAAATATTTGTTGAATGAATGAATGATCAAGCCCAACTGCTTGCATTGTTGTTTCCCTCATCCAGTCTCTCACCGCAGCTTGGTTTTTTTCCTCCTAGTTTTCTTCCACTCACCAGGTGTAAGAAAATGTATGTGTGTATTTTTGTGTGTGAGCCTTTTTATGTACAACCATATAAGAGGCAGTGGAAGCAGAACACTGATGAAATATTTTATGCTAATTAGTGTTTTATCTTTTTGATCATTGTGTTTTATTAGGTTATTTGATTTTCAGCTGTCTAAGCAATGAAGCATATGATTGAAAATCAAATAGTATAGCATAGTAAGATTGAATAATAAAGTGCAGCTGTGTCATCCGTCCTATCCTCAGTACTGTTCCTCAGAGATACCACTTTTAACCTTTTCTAATACTAGGTCTCTATGTTAAATAATTCTTTTTCCTTTGACTTCTTGAGATAGCCTTAAGTTAAACTGCTAATTCTTTTGTTGTTGACTTCTTGAGATAGCTCACACCATTCACAACTTCCCTTCTCTGAAATTTGGAATAGTCATATAATCACAATTTTTAGTTTTTGTATTGGTTGCTTTATAATTCGAAATAATATACATAACTACTTTTTTTGCAACAACTTTCAAAAATATATTTGACTCCTTCTTTGGTAAAACGAGAAAAGTCGTGATTCTACCTTTCCCTTTATCACCTCAGAAACTACTTTCATGCCCACTTTCCCTTAGCTGAACATTTACTTGTACATTGTCAAGGTTGATAATGTATTTCTTAACTATAATATTTGTGCTTTGTTCACATGCCAAAAACCAATAAAATGTTTACAGTATTATGGCTTTATAGTTGTTATTGGGTGCAAGTCCAAGCTGTATTCTACGATACATTTTTTCACCAGAGTTTTAACTTCATGATTCTTGTGCCCTACTAAGACTGATATCAAGGTCAAATGGATTTTTATTTCTTTCTCACCAATGGCAAAATATGCTGTAGTTGAGCGTGCTTTATATTTTGGACGTGTAATTACACAGTTTTTAACCGTCCTCACTTTTCCTGATTGCCTTTCTGCTTTCTCTTGAGGAATAGGTAGGTGGATGTACTTTCTTCACTGAATCTTTTCCTTCTTTGTATGACACACATTGAAGCTTCCATTCCTCTGCTTGAAGATAATCCTCTTGAAGCCCAGTGGCTTTCTGTTTAATTTGAACAGATTGCATTCTAGTTCTTTTGTATTGCTTTTTTTTTTTATCCTGGGTTTATATTCACTCTTGGGTGAATAACTTTCTTAGCCCCTTGCCTTCTGTTACTGGGTTTTCCCTTGTTTTCCTGGAATATATCCTAAGGAAACTTGCTCACAAAAGGCATGTGGAAGGGAATTTTATTTTTTAATGTTTGTATGGCTATAAATGATAATTTGCTCTTACGACTGGTAGTTTGACTATATATAGAATCAAAAGTATTTTCCTTCAGCTCTCAATCCTTCAGTGTCTTTAACTTTTTTTTTTTTCCTATTTTTTCTTCTTTGAAATGGAGTCTCACTGTGTTGCTCAGTCTGGTCTCGATCTCCTGACCTCATGTGATTCTCCCACCTCAGTTTCCTGAGTAGCTGGGATCACAGGCACACTCCACCGACCAGGTTCTCTACTAACTTTCATTATTGCTGATGAGAATGCCAGTCTCACTTTAATTTGTTGGTAGCAGAATCATTTTCTCTCTGAAATGATTAAAATTTTCTAGTTCCGTTTGATGCTTTGAAAATTTATGGCAGTGTGTCTAGATACAAGTTTATTCTTGCTGTGAATTGATTTGTAGGAGTTAAGTGTCTCAGTGTAGGTTTTTCATTTATTCTCCTTGAAATTATAAGGCTTTTTAATTTGAAGGTACGTATTTCCCTTCAGCTATGGGGGATTTTCTCCATATCTCTCACAGTTTCTTCTCCTTTATTTTTCTCTCATTTTTTGGAAACTCCCTATAAAGTGACTGCTGGATGCTTGGCTTGATTCACTCACTGTTGCATTCTAGTCCTTTTGCATTGGTTTTCTGCTTTCTCTTGGGGAACAGGCTATCTTTCTTATCTTTTTTCTTCTGTTTTTACCTATTTGTCTTTTTGCTCCATATTCTCAGCAATTGTCTGAACTTTATTTTCCAATGCCTCTATTTGGTTTGCCAAACATATAATTTCTACTCTTTTTAAAAATTATTATCTTCTCATAGGCTCTTAATTTTTTTATGAGATGAAATTTATACATATTAAAATGCATTGATTTTAAGTGGCCAATTTTATGAGTTTTGATGCATGCATTCATCCATGTAACCACTACCACCACAATCGAGAATATTTCTATCAGTATAGAAAGTTCCTCTGTTTCTCTGTTTATTCAGTCCCCTCTTCCCCATCCACAGTACTATCTTCTGATTTTTATTATTAATACTATTGTTTATTCCTATAGATCTGGAATTCCATTTAAATGGAGTCATACAGTATGCACTCTTTTGTGTCTGCTTCTTTCATAAACTTAATGCTTTTGAGGTCATCCATATTTTGATATGTTTGTTCTATTTTTGTTGCTGAATAGAATTTCATGGTAAAAGTATGTTAATTCACTCACTTGTGGGATATTTGCATTGCTTCTGGTTTTTAGCTATTAGGAGTATAGTTCCTATGAATATTCTCATACAAGCATTTTTATGAACAAATATTTTCATTTTTGTTGCGTAAATACCTAGTAGGAGTGGAATTTCTGAGTCACCAGTTAGGGATATTTTTAACTTTAGAAGAGTTTTCCAAATATTTGCCAAAATTATTCTTCCTTTTTCTCCTCATCATGCCTTGTGTGAAAATATGTTTGTGATTTTACCTATTTATGTATTGGCTTGTTTTATTATTGAATTGTGGTAGTTCTTATAGACTCTGAATACAGGTCAGTTATATACAGACATACATATATTTGATTTTAAAAGGTCATATGTATATATAATGTCATATGTATATATAGATAGATGTAAATATTTCCCTTTAGCTTGAATTTTTATTTTCTTAGGGGTGCCTTCTGATAGGCGTATGTTTTTAATTTTAGTAAAGTCTACTTTGTCAAAATTGTCTTTTGTGGCAAGTGCTTTGTTGTGTCTAAGAAATCTTTGCCTAACCTAAGGTTGTAAAGATATTCTTTTATGTTTTCAACTAGAAGACTAATAATTTTACCTTTTACATTTAAGCCTATGATCCATCTTAAATTTTTGTGGATATATCAGTAGAAGTTGGGGTTATAATTTTCATACATGAATATCTTTGAAGTTGGGGTTATAATTTTTATATATGAATATTATTTTTCCAGCACCATTTGTAAAACAGAATTTTTCTGTTGAATTCTTTTGTCTTTGTTGAAAATCAATTTATTTTATTGAAAAATTTTTAAATTATGAGATATGTGGTATTTGTACACACACATATTTAGATAAATATAGATACAGAGCATGGACATTCAAGCATAATGATAACATGAATACCCATTAATCCACCAGCTAAAAACTAGGCTATTTCTCAAGATTTTGAAGCTTCTTGTTGATTTTTCCCTAACCTTACCACTGCTTTAATTTGGTAGTAACCATCTTCTGATGATTTTTAAAAAATTTCCTTACTTATTGAGTATACTTTTACAATATATGTAAGTATTCCGGAATTATTTTTTTTTTTGAGTTTGATGAAAATTGGCATGTTTTATGTTACCTTTTTTCACTCAATATTATATTTCTAAGATTCATCTATGCTATTAAACATTGCTAGAGTTTGCTTATTTTTCATTATGTATACAGGTGAATGTACCACGATTTGTTTAATCATTTAGCTGCCATTGGACATTTAAATTGTTTCCAGTCTGGGGATATTAGGAGCAATATTGCCCTGATCCTTTCTTCCACAGGTCCACTCTGTGTGTGTGTGTGTGTGTGTGTGTGTAGGAATGTAGGAATATAATAGCAAGATCGTGTAAAACGTTTCTGGCGATTTTACTAATTTATACTCCCATTTATATTTACTAATTTATACTCTCACTTAAATTAGAGATCCTATTTTTCCACATCCTTCTAACATTACGTGTTATCAGATTTCTTAGTTTTTAACTGTCTGGTAGATACAAATGTTTATGTGGTTTTAATGTGCAATTCCTTGATCATTAATGAGGTTGTTTATCTTCTCATGTATTTATTGGCCATTTCTCTTTATTCTTTTGTATAATAGGTTTTTTTTTTTTTTTCCAGACAGAGTCTCGCTCCATTGCCAGGCACCAGACTGGAGTGCAGTGGCGCAATCTCAGCTCACTGCAACCTCCGCCTCCTGGGTTCAAGCAATTCTCCTGCTTCAGCCTCCTGAGTAGCTGGGATTACAGGCGCGCACCACCATGCCCAGCTAATTTTTGTATTTTTAGTAGAGACGGGGTTACACCATGTTGGCCAGAATGGTCTCGATCTCCTGACCTTGTGATCCGCCCTCCTTGGCCTCCCAAAGTGCTGGGATTACGGGCGTGAGCCACTGTGCCTGGCCAGGTTTTTCTATAATTTGTTTTATGTAATGGAAGTAATATCTTCTCAAATCTCTCTATATTTATTAGAGTTGGTTTGTGTGTGTGTGTTTATATGTATATAAATTATTTCAGTTGCTTCCAAAGTCAGATTTTTGGAGGTTTATTTTATTGTTTGCCCTTTATACTGTAGTCTTTCCTCAACTATCTGATGATTCCCAGACAAGTCATTATTTAAGAGTTAAAGAAGGCTGCCTGGGAGCTTTGCATATATGTACATGCTTATTGACTGATACATTTTGTTTTAGAATGGCTGGGTGCACAGCCAAATCTTAGCTGGGATCCTACAAATTCCAGAATTGTGAGGAGTTTGCTCTTCTCATCATAGCAACTACTGTAGTTCTCAGACAGTTTGTTCAACTTCTTTAAGGAAGAAACTTATCTTTTTCTTTTTTTCATGGAGGGTAAATAACTGCTTATGTTTTTGGGCTAGTGGCAGAGTTGACACTTCTAATTATTCAACACTTCACCCTTCTGATTTCAAACCCTCTTTGACTGCTGTTTACTATTGTTTATGCCTTCTCTGAGTCTGAAGCCTCTGAATCTGAAGAGTCCCAACAAACCTCCTGGCTATTATAGGTTGTAGGTTATTTATTTCAGCTTCTTGTGACAATACTCTTCCATATATATTTTGTTTTGTATAGGTTTCCAGAAATCTTTCATCACCTCATGGCCTGTTTATTTTTTCTTCCTTGTTAAGTGTTTGTACATTTTTAAATACTATATTTTTAATGATTTCAGTAAGGTTTCTGGTCAGACATAAGAAAAGTGGTCTTATTGAATTGGAATTCCAATATATTTTTTATAAAAGCTGAGAAGGGAAGGGCCGGGCGCGGTGGCTCACGCCTATAAACCCAGCACTTTGGGAGGCCGAGGCGGGTGGATCACGAGGTCAAAAGATCGAGACCATCCTGGTCAACATGGTGAAACCCCGTCTCTACTAAAAATGCAAAAATTAGCTGGGCATGGTGGCGCGCGCCTGTAGTCCCAGCTACTCGGGAGGGTGAGGTAGGAGAATTGCTTGAAATCAGGAGGCGGAGGTTGCGGTGAGCCAAGATCGCGCCATTGCACTCCAACCTGGGTAACAAGAGTGAAACTCCATCTCAAAAAAAAAAAAGCTGAGAAGGGGAAAAATGCAGTGCTTTACCTGGTAGATTATCTTTTTAGTGGGACACATCGGTAAAATATTTTTCTGTCAGGAGACCTATTTTTTTGTTATGGTTGCCTTAATGTGATTCAGATTGATATGGAGCAAATTTCCTAATCTCCAGACTGTCACCTTACACAACTCTGGGGGCACTATTTATTTTGGAGTCAGTGCAAATAGGACGCCTCATGCTATACATGTGGAACAACTGCCTCTAAACTGGAGATAATAGCTCTGTCAAGATTATTAAGATGATTAAATCAGATCATGCATTATGTAAAGCACCTAACATAAAAATGAAAACTGATTATTAATATTATAGAGCCTTCTGTTACTCTAGTTTAAGCTTTACTACTATTATAAGATCCCTGATTATTTAGTTTCTAGTTGGTATCTATATTTTCTCTTTCCTGACTTCCCTCAGATTATTGATCGTATGTGGGTTATTGAATCTTTAGGTGAAGAGAAGAGCCTTATTAATAATACGGATGCAGAAACTAACTTCCTCTACTTTTTAAACTGTCAGTTGTCATTGAAGATGGAATAATCTCTCTTTTCCTTTTTATGCCATTGAAAATCTTTGAGTTTGATTTGGAGCTGCGATATACATTTACGCTTAGGTGTTTTGTCCCCTGATATTTTAGAATTTTTTTACTTTGATGATTTTACTGTGAAGTGAAACATCACAGTAAAAGTGTTCAAATTGGCATTTTCCTCCAAGTTGTTTGTTAATCATGGTTAAGGTTTGGTCTGTCTAGCTGAAAACTGTCTTCTTTTCTAGATTATCTTAGAAGACTTAGGACTCCAAAAATGTTTCCCTTGAAGGATGCTGAAATGGGAGCCTTTACCTTCTTTGCCTCGGCTCTGCCACATGATGTTTGTGGAAGCAATGGGCTTCCTCTCACACCAAATTCCATCAAAATTTTAGGTCGCTTTCAAATCCTTAAAACCATCACCCATCCCAGACTGTGCCAGTATGTGGATATTTCTAGGGGAAAGCATGGTAAGTTGTTTTCTTTTTTTTCCTATTTATGTTCTTTACTTTGTTATCCTAAGTTATAAATACGGTATCCACTAAATAGATAAAGCTATCATCAGTACCTGTGCACCCATGTCCTTCTTTCTCTCCTCTTCTTTCCCCACCCTGCCTCTCTCATACACTGTCCATTTATTTGCAAATCTACCAGGTAAAATTCAAACTCTTTACTGGATTATGGCATGCAAAATCCTTCATCTAGTCCTTGATCCAGTCTGCACTAATCCCCTTTCGATATATTGCTTGTTGTTTCTACTAATTTTACCCTTCATTCCAACCAAGCTGAGTTGCTTTGAGTGTTTTTGATTCGCATATCCTTAATTTTGTACTTTGCAATTTTCTCTCATGGATGATGCTATGCTTCATTCCCTACAATCTGAGCTAAGTCTCCTTCTTAAATTCTTTTATAGCTTTTATGATATTTTATTACTTTCTATTTAATTTTTCTCCTCTGAGGATTCTGAGTTCTTGAGGATAAGGACCTTTACTTGTGACCTCAGAGCTTGTAGGAAGCACTCAATAAATGTTAGTTGAATGAATGAATGAACAACTATATTTGAATGATTAATGTTTCTCAGATCTGAGAATCAGGATTTTTAATTTTCCTTTTCAGCAAAACTCTCTAGATGTAAGCATATTTCTTTATAAACTTTAGAAGAATTATCTAACAATATATTTTATGATCGAAAGTAATGATTTTGGCAACTGTCTTCAAATGAAAAGAGAGTCAGCAGATTTTTTTTTTAACCTCCATTAGTCTTTTTATACAGGAGCCCATTTAGAGAACTAAATTAGAAAAGTTGAGCCCTACTGATTAAAAAGTCAGTGTTTGAGGAAAATGTTTACTGCATTTTCAGTAGTGTAACCAGGTTCTTTCATTCTCCACTTAAAGATGCTTATGGTGGCAATATTTTCACTTATTTTAAAATTGTTTTTGGAAGCTTAATTGCAGGCTAAGTTTTGCATTTCTTAAAATCCTTTTAAATGCATTTCAGTGAAATGTATTTAATTTTTTAGCATAAAATAATTTGTAGATATAAAAAAAACTGAAAGTTAACCCTATATAGTGGGGGATATTCAACTTTTTTCCCTATAAAAAAATGGCAATTTTATGTATTTCAACCTAAGATTAAAAACCCTGATAAATGCAAACTATCTTTTCTTTACAGTTTTATTGAAGAATAGACTAAACTAGGCTTTCCCTGGTTTATTTCTCTTAAAATACTTACTTAGAATATTTGTGTTTTATAGATTGTGAGTAGAAATATTTTTTGTAATGTTGATTATTGATTGTTACAATTTTTTGAGTGTTTTTATATATCAGATATTCTAAGTGTTTTACATATTTTAATTACATGTTTTAATTAACTTAAGTTTTGTAGTATTACTCTGTGGTAGGAACTGGTACTATCATTTTACAGGTAAGGAAATTAAGCGACAGAGCAATTAAGTCAGGTTTCACAGTTAATTCATCCAAGGTCACACGAAGGAAATTAAGGAAAACTAGAATGCTAATGCATTTTATTATTTTTTGAAAGATTGTACACATTGCCATACTTGTATAATAATGCAAATATTGCCAGAATTCTAATAAGAGATATTCAGTACTATAACTACTGTTGAGCTCTAACACATACCTAGGCTCTAAATAGTTAGATGTTTTCAGGGGGCTTGGTGAGAGACATGGGAAAGAGGGTGGTAAAAAAAAGTTAATTATCTAGCAGATGATGAAAAATATTTGGTTTTTCATAATTGACATATCAGTATATACACACAGACGTGTTAAAGTATACATTATTTAAGACTTCTTTTACTGTACAAGGTTGCCGTTGTTTGATTTATTTGCAAATATTAGTAAATGCCTGTCATGTTTGCCTTAATCTTTTAAGCAAGAGCATTGGTGGTATCATGTCGAGGCCTTAAGGGTCTCTCTTCATAGGGAACAAATTTGAAGGTCAGAGCTGATAGAAAGCTAGCTTTGAAGCAAAAGGTATAAAGACACTGATGAATTGATGATTTATTTATCTATTTATTTGTTTATTTTTGTTATTGTACTTAAGATTCTGGGGTACATGTGCAGATCATACAGGACTGTTGCATAGGTGCATATGGCAATGCGGTTGTTGCCTCCATCTCCCTGTCACCTATATCTGGCATTTCTCCCCATGTTAGCCCTCTCCAGCCTCCCCACCCCACTGCTGTCCCTCCCCTGCCCCCCGCAAACAGACCCTAGTGTGTGATGCTCCCCTCCCTGTGTCCCTGTGTTCTCATTGTTCAACACCCACCTATGAGTGAGAACATGTGGTGTTTGATTTTCTGTTCTTGTGTCAGTTTGCTGAGAATGATGGTTTCCAGGTTCATCCGTGTCCTTAAAAAGGACACGAACTCATCATTTTTGATGGCTGAAGAGTATTCCATGGTGTATACGTGCCACATTTTCCTTGTCCAGTCTATCTTGGTTCCAGGTCTTTGCTGCTATGAACATACATGTGTGTGTGTCTTTATAATAGAACAATTTATAATCCTTTGGATATATCCCCAGTAATGGGATTGCTGGGTCAAATGGAATTTCTATTTCTAGGTCCTTGAGGAATTGCCACCTTGTCTTCCACAATGGTTGAACTAATTTACACTCCCAGCAACAGTGTAAAAGTGTTCCTATTTCTCCACATCCTCTCCAGCATCTGTTGTCTCCAGATTCTTTAATGATCACCATTCTAACTGGCGTGAGATGGTATCTCAATGTGGTTTTGATTTGCATTTTTCTAATGACCAGTGATGATGAGCATTTTTTCATATGTTTGTTGGTCTCATATATGTCTTCTTTTCTGTCTCTGTCTCCTTCAGTTCTGCTCTGATCTTAGTTATTTCCTGTCTTCTGCTAGCTTTTGAGTTTTTTTGATTTTGTTCCTTTAGCTCTTTCAATTTTAAGGATAGGGTGTCGATTTTGGATCTTTCCTCACTTCTCATGTGGGCATTTATTACTATAAATTTCTCTCTAGACACTGCTTTAAATGTGTCCCAGAGATTTTGGTACATTGTGTCTTCGTTCTTGTTAGTTTCAAAGAACATCTTTATTTCTGTGTTCATTTGTTTATCCCATCGGGAGCCAGTTCAGTTTCCATGGATTTAAACAGTTCTGAGTGAGTTTCTTAATCCTGAGTTCTAATTTGATAGCACTGTGTTCTGAGAGACTGTTTGTTATGATTTCCGTTCTATTGCATTTGCTCAGGAGTGATTTACTTCCAATTATGTGATCGATTTTAGAGAAGGTGCAATGTGGTGCTGAAAATAATGTATATTCTGTGGATTTGGGGTAGAGATTTCTGTAGATGTCTATTAGGTCCCCTTGATCTAGATCTGAGTTCAAGTTCTGGATATTCTTGTTAATTTTCTGTTTCATTGATCTGTCTGATATTAACAGCGGAGTGTTAAGGTCTCCCACTATGATTGCGTGGGAGCCTAAGTCTCTTTGTAAGTCGTTAAGAACTTGCTTTTTGTATCTGGGTGCTCCTGTATTGGGTGCTTACATATTTAGGACCATTAGCTCTTCTTGTTGCCTTGATCCTTTTATCATTATGCAATGCCCTTCTTTGTTTCTTTTGATTTTTGTTGGTTTAAAGTCTATTTTATCACAGACTAAGATCACAACTCCTGTCTTTTTTTGCTCTCCATTTGCTTGATAAATCTTCCTTTATCCCTTTAGTTTGAGCTTATGTATGTCCTTGCACGTGAGATAGGTTTTCTGAATATGGTATACTGATGGGTCTTGATTTTTTTATCCAATTTTCCAGTCTGTGTCTTTTGATTGGGGCATTTAGCCCATTTACATTTAGGGTTAGTATTATTATGTGTGAATTTGATGCTGCCATTTTGATGCTAGCTGGATGTTTTGACTGTTAGTTGACACATTTTCTTAATTGTGTTGATGTTCTTTACCATTTGGTACGTTTTTGGAGTGGCTGGTACTGGTTGTTCCTTTTGTTGTTTAGTGCTTCTTTCAGGAGCTCTTGTAAGGCAGGCCTGGTGGTGACGAAATCTCGCAACAATTGCTTGTCCGTAAAGGATTTTCTTTCTCCTTTGCTTATGAAGCTTAGTTTGGCTGGTTATGAAATTCCAGGTTGAATGTTCTTTTCTTTAGGGATATTGAATATTGGCCCTCACTCTCTTCGGGCTTGTAGGGTTTTTGCCGAGGATCCACTGTGAGTCTGATGGTCTTCCCTTTGTGGGTAACCCAACCTTTCTGTCTGGCTGCTCTTAGCATTTTTTCCTTCATTTCAACCCTGGTGAATCTGACGATTATGTGCCTTGGGGTTGTTCTTCTTGAGGAATATCTTTGTGGGTTCTCTGTATTTCCAGGACTTGAATAGTGGCCTGGCTTGCTAGGTTGGGGAAGTTCTCCTGGATAATATCCTGAAGAGTGTTTTCCAGCTTGGATTCATTCTCTCTGTCACATACAGGTACACCTATCAAACGTATATTAGGTCTTTTCACATAATCCCATATTTCTTGGAGGCTTTGTTCATTTCTTTTTATTCTTTTTTCTCTATTCTTATCTTCTCATTTTATATCATTGAGTTGATCTCAGTCTCTGATATCCCTTCTGCCTGATTGATTTGGCTATTGAAACTTGTATATGTTTCATGAAGTTCTTGTGCTGTGTTTTTCAGCTCCACCAAGTTGTTTATATGCTTCTGTAAGCTGTTTATTCGCCTTAGCATTTCATCTTGCCTTTTTTCAAGGTTCTTAGTTTTTTTGCATTGGGCTAACACATGATCTTTTAGCTCAGAGAAGTTTGTTATTATCCAGTTTCCGAAGCCTGTTTCTTTCAATTCTTCAGATTCATTCTCCATCCAGCTATGTTCCCTATATGATGAGGAGTTGTGATCCCTTGGAGGAAGAGAGGCGTTCTGGTTTTTGGTGTTTTCATCCTTTTTGCACTGGTTTCTGTCCATCTTCGTGGCTTT